CCCCAAAACCCCAAAACCCCAAAACCCCAAAACCCCGTTTTGGATGAATTTTAACAAATTAAAGCAATTATTGTAATCATTTGAATTTAAATAATGGAGCAAGAATCAATCTCAGTAGGAAAATTTGACTTTAATACTCATCAGTTCCTAATCCCAACCAAGAAAATAGATGATACTCAAACACTTGAAGCATTTAAAAAGTCAGAGGCATGCAATGAGCTCCTATCATTCATTGCCGCCTTGACTTAATCAGTTTAAAACAGCAGAATGACTGAAACACCAATCACAGAGGTATGAATACTAAGTCATTCCAAAAGATTTATCCTATATTTTAGAATCTAAAGCCTCTCTATAACTATCTAGAAACTTTAGAAAATTGGGTTGATGAGATTCCTCCCATTCATCAGCCAATGAGATTTGGAAACAAAGCTTATAGAACATGGCTGGACAAAGTTAGCCAAGTAAAATATTCATCATTGGTTATTCTAACAATTCCTTATAGGAGGCTGACACAATGTTACTTAACATGTATAAAATCGACGGCTTCTAAAATGCTTTGGCCGAATTAAAAGGATATCTCTTAGATTCATTCGGGTCTTATGAGAGATTAGATTATGGAACAGGGCATGAGCTAAACTTCGTGGTCTTTTTGCTCTGTCTGTTCAAGTTGAAGTTATACAAGCCAGATGATTTCAAGGCCTTGATTAATAAAGTTTTCCAGAGATATCTAACTCTGATGAGAAAAATCTAGTTAATTTATGTCCTTGAACCAGCTGGTTCTCATGGAGTTTGGGGTTTAGATGACTATCAACACCTCGCTTTCCTCTTCGGTGCTTCCTAACTCATGAAAAATGAATCATATCTCCCAGAATCAATCCACAGTGATAGTTCACTAACAAAAGATTTTGATGATTTTATGTACTTTGGATGCATTAGATTTATTAAGTAAGTCAAAAAGGGAGTGCCCTTCGGTGAAAGTTCTCCAATGCTCAATGATATAAGTGCAGTTCCTTCTTGGGAAAAAGTAACTACTGGAATGATGAAAATGTTCTAGGCCGAGGTAATCAGTAAGCTGCCAGTCATTAAACACTTGAAATTCGGCAGTTTATTACATTTTAATTGATTCATTAACATGCACTAATTATAAGTGAATCCTTATATGATGGGGTTTTGGGGTTTTTGAGCCATACTTAAAGATTAATTTGTTTAA